CCAGGAGTTGGAGGTTGCTGTGAGCTTGATGCCATGGCACTCTACCCAGGGGGATAGCTTGAGGCTCCGTCTCAAAAAAAAAAAAAGAAAGAAAGAAAAATAAACAAATAGATGAAAAAGATAAGAAATAATCAACTTAAATATATATGATGAGAAAAAGAAGGAAATAACCTAAATAAAGTAGGGATAGTACATCTCCCAAAATAAATTACAGATTTGTTGAAGTGGAGACAAATGAAGTACATCTTAAAAGTATAGTATCAAAATACATCTCCTGAAATCCCACAATAGGCCAACTCTCTTAATATGTAAAAAAGCCTCAGAGACCACATTTGAAAAGTAGGTGAAAATAGGAACATAAGTGCAAGAGTCTACATAGCAGTTGTATGGTTTAAGGATGTTGTTAAGATTGAAAACAGACAAACTAAACATAATTTTAGTATGTATTTCTTCAAACTCTAACGTCTTACAGTATATACTCAGTTGTATGAGGTCTCAAACTATTTCCTGTGTTCTTAGATTTTTTACTTGTGAAAACAATTCAGTGTTGATGAAGTAACAAAGTGTTACCAATATATATTTATACTAGTTTTAGGCAGGTGGGACATGAGAAAATTCTCAGTGCCTGACAGTCTCACGTGTTGCAGAACATTTAGAGTACCTGGTCCCTTCTAATTAAAAAATCCAGCAGCACTACCAATTATTATAATGCAGATAAATGCTTACTAGGGAGCAGTAATGACCTTTTAGAAAACCATTGCTTTCGGCAGCACCCATAGCTCAGTGGGTAGGACACCAGCCACGTACACCGAGGCTGCTGGGTCTAAACCCAGCCTGGGCCAGCTAAACAATGACAGCTGCAACAAAAAAATAGCCAGGCGTCGTGGCAGGCACATGTAGTCCCAGCTACTTGGGAGGCTGAGGCAAGAGTATCGCTTAAACCCAAGATTTTGAGGTTGCTGTGAGCTGTGACACCACGGCACTCAACCCAGGGCAATAGCTTGAGACTCTGCCTCAAAAAAAAAGAAAGAAAACCATTGCTTTTTATAATCACTATTCACAGCTATCTTCAGCAGAAGGTAAATAAGAGATGAACTGGGATATGGGTGTGTGTATAATGGTATGCCCTATAGGACCTATAAGATAAAGCGTTATTATTGAATTCACTATGATGTTTATTTCATAAAGATAGTGGATTGTAGTTTCCTTATTAAACTTAAAACTACTAAAATTAAGCTTTTTGTGTGTTCTTATGTAAGCTATTATTAATCATAAGCGTGTGTTATTCTTCATTTTCTCCTCTTGGGCATACATCAACCAAATGGTTCTCAAACTTTGGCAATTGGGTGGCACCTGTGGCTCAGTAGGGCATCAGCCCCATGTACCAAGGATGGGGGTTCAAACCCAGCTGCGGCCAAACTGCAACAACAAAAATAGCTGGGCTTGTGGCGGGTGCCTGTAGTCCCAGCTACTCAGGAGGCTGAGGCAAGAGAATCCCCTAAGCCCAAGAGCTGGAGGTTGCTGTAAGCTGTGACGCCACAGCACTCTACCAAGGGCAACAAAGTGAAACTGTCTCAAAAAAAAAAAAAAAAACACTTTGGCAATCATCAGAATCACCTGGAAGCTTGTTAAAACATACATTGCTGAGCCCCACCTGTAGAGTTTCTGATTCAGTAGGTTGAGATGTATATAGGCCCCATGGATTTGGGATCCCTGGTGATACTGATGCTGCTGGATTGGGGAGCACATTTTGAGAAACATTACACTGACTGGCTATTTATGATTTCATTATGTTTTAGGGAGCAATGGACCACAGAAATTCTGCATTGAAAAAGTTGGGAAAGAAAACTGGTTACCCAGAAGCCATACCTGGTAAGTAAAATCAGAAAGAATAAAGAGAATAGAATAGACTTTTTCTAGTTATCTTGTAGCTATTTAAAGCCTGTTAGAAATGAGAACGGAAATATTTTCTTCATGGTATTGAATTTTTATTTTAACAGAGTTAGGGGGTACAAGTAGAATTCTGTTAACATGTATATACTATATAGTAATGGAGTTACCCCAATGGCAATTTTTTGTCCCTCACCCTGTCTCTACTCTTCTTCTTTGTGAGTCATTATTGTCCATTGTACTATTCTTTGTGCCCTTGTGTAGCTATAGATTAGCTCCCGTTTATAAGCAAGAACATGTGGTGTTTATTTTTCTATTCCTGATTTAGTTCACTTAGAATAATTGCCTCCACAAATTGTTTTCAGCCATGTTTTTGAGGTATTATGTATCATAAAATTTACCCATTTTAATTTAATGATATTTAGTAGATTTACAGAGCAGTACAACCATCATCATAATCCTGTTTTAGAACACTTCCTTCCCCTTAAATTATCCTTTATGGCCATTTGCAATCAATCCTTTTGCTCGCCTATTAATTTTTTAAAACTGAGATTTAGAATTCTTTTAACTTTTCTGAGAAGGCAGGGAAAGAAATCAAAGTTAGGAGACCTACTTTCTAATGTAGTGACCATTATTATTTTTTTTAATTAAATCACAAACACATAGATCATGTATACATTAATGCATTTATGGGGTACAATGTGCTGATTTCATATAGAATTAGGAATGCTTACATCACACTGGTTGATACATACCTCATCTTGTTTACTTTTTTTTTTTGAGATAGTGTCTCCCTATGTTGCCCTCAGTAGAGTGCTGTGGTGTCAACAGCTCACAGCAACCTCAAACTCCTTGGGCTTAAGCAATTCTCTTACCTCATCTTCCCAGGTAGCTGGGACTAAAGGCACCTACCACAATCCCCGGCTATTTTTTTGTTGCAGTTGTCATTGTTGTTTAGCTGGCCCAGGCTAGGTTTGAACCTACCAGCCTCAGTGCATGTGGCCAGCGCCATAACTACACTGTGCTGTGGGTGCCAAGCCTATTTTCTCATTTTTAATGTAGTTTAATCACATTTCCACAAAATGTACAAAACTAAAAACCAACCATAATACTATCTTAAATACAGTAATATGTTGGAATTCAACTTAATGCATCAATATTTGAACTTTATTTTGTGGGATATTCAGTGGTCATATATTCTTATGACCCCATTCAGCCTTTTTATTTTTTGTCTATTCCTTTATGGGTTTTTTTGTTTTTGTTTTTGTAGTTTTTGGCTGGGGCCAGGTTTGAACCTGCCACCTCTGGTATATGGGGCCAGCGCCCTAATCTTTTTCCACTTACCTTGGCAGGTTCAGCCCTCTCGTACCTCCCAGAAAATATTCCCAAAGCGTACTCTTTTGAGATAGGATCTCTGTCACCCAGGCCAGAGTACAGTGGTATCCTCATCCATGTTGTAGCATGTGTCAGCATTTCCTTCCTTTTTAAGACTGAATAATTCTCAATTGTATGGATCTATCACATTTTGTTTATCCATCTGCTCATGGACACTTGGATTATTTCTCCCTTTTGGCTATTTTGAATAATGCTGCCATAAGCAGGTGTCCAAGTATTTATTTATGTCCCTGCTTTTGGTTCATTTGGGTATATACCCAGAAGTGGATTTGCTGGATCCTGTGGTACTTCTACTTTTAACTTTTGGGGAAATTGCCATGCTATTTTCCATAATGACTATAGCAGTTTACCTTCCTCCCACCAGCAGTACAAAAGGGCTCCAGTTTCTCCACATCCTTGTCAACTCTTCTTTTCTTTTTTTTTTTTTTTTTAATAGTAGCCATCCTAATCAATGTAAAGTGGTATCTCATTGTAGGTTTTATTTGAATTTGTCCAGTGACTAATGATGTTGAACATCTTTTCATGTGCTTATTGGCCATTTGTGTATCTTCCTTGGAGAAATGTAAATCCTTTGCTCATTTTTAATTGTTGACTTGTAAGAGTTCTTTACATATTCTGGATACCTGTCATTTATCAGATTCACAAACACTTTTTCCCAGTTTGTGGGTGTCTTTTCACTTTCTTAATGGTATCCTTTAAAGCACAGAAGCTGAATTTTGATGAAGTGTGTGTTTTTTGTTGCTTATGGATTTGTTATCATTTCTAGGAAATCATTGCTTAACTAGAGGTCACAAGGATTTACTCTTAGGTTTTATTATAAAAGTTTTATAGTATCAGCTCTTAATATTTAGGTCTGTGATCCATTATGAGTCTGTTTTTGTGCATGGTGTGACATAGAGTCTGACTTCCTTTTCTTTACATCCAGATATCCAATTGCCTCAGCATCATTTGTTGAATTCTTTTCTCCGTTGAATGGTCTTGGCACCATTGTTGAAAATCAGTTCACCTTAAATATATGGATTTTTTTCCAGATTCTTGACTCTGTCCTGTTGATCTATATGTCTGTCCTTAATGATAGTACCACATTGCCTTGATTACTGTAACTTTGTAGTAGGTGTTGAAATTAGGCAGCATGTATCCAACAACTTTTCAGGGTTGTTACTAGCTATTATAGGCCCCTTGGATTTCTATATGAATTTTAGGATCAGCTTGTCCATTTCCACACAAAGTTCAGCTGGGATTTTGATAATGGACTTCTTTGAATCAGTAGATGAATTTTGGGAGTATTTCCATCCTAATAGTATATTCTGATCCATGAACATAGGATGTCTTCCCATTTATTTAGGTTGTTTTCATTTTAACAATGTTTTGTACTTTTCATTGTATAAGTCTTAACACTTCTTTTGTTAAATTTATTTTGTATTTTACCCTTTTTATTTTTTTTGCAGTTTTTGGCCAGGGCTGGGTTTGAACCTGCCACTTCCAGCATATGGGGCTAGTGCCCTCCTCTGAGCCACAGGCACTGCCCCTGTATTTTATCCTCTTTGATACTATTGTAAATGGAATTATTTTCTTAATCTCATTTCAGATTGCTCATTGTTACTGTATAGAAATATTGATCTTCAGTGCTTTTGTTTTTTAAAGACAGAGTCTCACTATGTTGCCCTTGGTAGAGTGCTGTGGTATCACAGCTTACAGCAACCTCAAATTCTTGGGCTTAAGCGATTCTTTTGCCTCAGCCTCCCAAGTAGCTGGGACTATAGGTACCTGCCACAACACCTAGCTATTTTGTTGTTGTTGTTGTCATCATTGTTTAAGCTGGCTGGGGCCGGGTTTGAACCTACCAGCCTCAGTGTATGTGGCCAGCACCCTACCCACTTAGCTATGGGTGCCGCCTAAGGTTCTGTTTTAATTTGCCATTACTAACAAAGTCATAATTATAGGTTCACAATTATGTTACAGTTGGTTATAGTCAGTTGCAGAACTGATACTTGAACCACGCTGTGTGGCTTTAAAACCAGTTCTGCTATACTACACTGCCCATTTTATTCTTTGTAAATTTCTTTTTCACGAACTAACAATTTTTACTTTTAGCTTTAACCGCCTAGACTTGCCACCATACAAGAGCTACGAGCAACTGAAGGAAAAGCTTTTGTTTGCCATTGAAGAAACAGAAGGATTTGGACAAGAGTAACTTCTGAGAATTTGCATCATGAAAGGACGAAAAGTTATTTGCAGTGTTTGTCCTTTTCCTTCTCTGCCTGTTGCACATCTAGTTGTAAAATTGGACTATGACTGTTTAGAGAGTTATCTGAGTGTAAGTAAATTAATGTTATCATTGAGATTTATCTTCCATTGATTCTGGATTTCTACTCTGCATTTCCAGAAATCAGATCTGCACATGACTAGTCAAAACCTTAATCAAGATTTAACACAGCAATGAAATCTGCCTTGTCTTATTCCACTAGACTAGATTATTTCCTTAACGATTTCATATATATGTCAAAAGCCTCACCTTGGGAGTAGGTTTTTTTTTTTTAGAAATTCTGCAGATATGCAGGGAAGTCCCTTGGTAACTGCAATATACAAGATCTTCCTATTAAGCCTCTTCGTGGTAAGAGGTATTTAAGTGCAAGTTCATCCCAGCTTCTGGGGTTATAAGCAGATTTCTGGCTTGTGCTCTCCCTCTCATTTCAGCCTGGCTTGACTGTTGTTTTTCCTTTGTGGAGCATGAATCTATGCATTTCCTGGAAGTGATGCAAGACTCTTGCATCTTTCTACAAGGTAGTTTTGTCAATTTGAATACAGAGAAAAGTTGGTCCCAGTTTGCAAATGACTTTATACCTCTTTTCATTTGGAAATGAAACTTTACAAACAATATTTTACACTGTGGTTCCTTCACTGTTGTTTTTAAAAGGTAACCTAGAATTGGAGTTAATTTAACTGAATTCATCTAAGGCTATTATTAATGACTTTTGGATGTTCTTTTTCTACATAATTGGAACTTCATAATTTTATCATAATCCAACACCTTCAGCTATATTTAATTATTGCTAAGAGTTCAGGTTTGTAACTAGAGTGCTTTCTAGATCAAGTAGAAATCAATGAAACAGTTTCTGAAATCACATTTTCATTTGGGAAGGAGAGCTATAATACTGGCTAAAAAGAAAGAAGGGAAGATAACTATTAACCACAGAAATTTATCCCCTGTGTAATTAAAAGTCTTCAGATTTACCATTTCTCTAATACATATTGTAGTAGTCATTTCCATTCTTTACATTGTCTTGAATTGGATTGATATTCCTCATCTGCCATATTTGCACCCCTAAAAATTTTAGTAAGTTTTCCATTTTCTCATGACTATTTTAGACTGCTCCAGTAGTAACCAATTAATGCACTTTGAATTTTCTCTGTAGTTAATTCTTTTCACTTGGTCTAGCTTAGACTGTCAAAATGGCTGTTGTTATACATTTGACTTTATGGGCAGTGGGATGAAGCCTAAGCTAGCTCAGTCCCTATTACAGGTGAACCTGAGGATAGTCTCAAAACTTAACAGGGACTTTGCCATGTTTCCACAGCATAGCATGAACAAGTAGCATTAAGCCAAGAATAAGCAAAAAGTAGCAGACCCCTGTTTCCTTAAGAAAAAAAAAGTTTTTTTTCCTAAATGCTCTTCCTATTTACATCCTGGCACAATAAAAACATTTTTTTTTAAATTTGTGTATCTGTACTCTAAGACACTGCCATCAAAGCAGAAACTTACATAAATGATAGGACTGCCTCATCAAGAAATTGTCTGTGTAAAAGGGGAGATGAGGCTCTCCCCAGCCCTATATTTGTTTTTTATCTCATACCCCAGGAAACATGTGATCTGTAAATGCCCTAGTTGTTTCCAAAGTAGGGACTCTGCCCTTTTGCTGGTAGGGAAAAAAACTGCTATTGCTTTGTCTTACAGAGCGAATGTTTGCCAACTATCCATTCATTATATGTAAGTCTGAATTTTGGTAATATAGGCTATGAAAATTAAGCCTTCTATTAAAGACTTCCTATTGAGGTGAACTCTTAATACTGAAGCATAGTTACATACAATATTTACTAGAGACATACATAAGAGATTAAATTAAGAGATAATGTTAAGAAAATAGACTTTTTTGGTTCTACATAATGCTTCATGATTCATTTAGGGACCTAGAAATATTGTGTGAAAATGTATAAATATCACCCAAAAGGCTTTCTGCCCTATATTTTTAAAATACAGAATAGTTATATTTGAAGTAGCCCTGGCCCTAGTTCTATAGGGCTTGGCTATTTAATATTTTTATGGAAGAAATGTTTAGTTCTGGAAAAGGTAAATGCTTGTATATATTTTTGCAGCCTGGGATCTCCCTACTCCATTTCTTCCTTTAATTTAAGTGGCCACATGTATATGTCTTCCCTATTGTGTTAGAAAAATGGGGGCTGGTTATCCTAAGAATCAGAGGTTATAGAAAAATACTGCAAATAGACAGCAGACATAAATATCTACCAGATGTTATCTTAAATTTTGGTCCAAATTGAATATTTGGAAATAGATTTATTAAGTGTTTAATTAGAGCTTTTTAAAACTAAATTGCTTTTAGAATCCTTTTTCCTTGTAAGCATTGTAAATGCTAATCCTGTTAATTTTTTTTTTTTTTTTTTACTGCATGTTATGTTGAAATAAAAAGAAAATGAGCAATTGACTTATTCTTCTGCTCTTTTGGGGTTAGGGGTTGGGGAAAGCAGCATTCCACAGCTTGGTCAGGAGAGAAGAGAAGGCCCTCAGTTGTTTCATCAAAAAGTTCCTAATAATGCATTCCCACTCATTATCGTTCATTGTATGTCAGATTACTAAAGAATCTCATTTCAGGCTCAGCACCTGTAGCACAGTGGTTAACGGTGCCAGCCACATACAGGTTTGAACCCAGCCTGGGCCAGCTAAGCAACAATGACAACTGCAACAACAACAACAAAAAAAATAGCTGGGCGTTGTGGCAGGTGCATGTAGTCCCAGCTACTTGGGAGGCTGAGGCAAGAGAATTGCTTAAGCCCAAGAGTTTGAGGTTGCTGTGAGCTGTGACACTACAGCACCCACTGAGGGCAACATAGTGAGACTCTGTCTCAAGAAAAAAAGAAAACTTATGTCATAAGACTTATAATAACTATTTTAAAAATTCAGGCACTGTACTCAAGAGGCTGAGGCAGGGAGATCTCTTGAGCCCCGGAGTTCAAGTCTAGCTTGGGCAACATAGCAAGATCCTGTCTCTTGGTGAAAAATCATACCCAAATTATTATTTTCCCCAAGAGATTTTTTTTATCATCAAGAGATTGATATACCATTGTTAGTCCATCAGAAATTGTACAACATGCTCAACTACCCACAGAGGTCTCATAATATAGAAAGTATTTCAGTCAACCTCACCCTGCCACTTTTTACTTTTCTGGTTAAAAATCTGAAATGTTATTAAAGGTGACTCATGGAATTAAACTTACCCTCTATTTTTATATCCCTCCTTGTTTGGGATATAACTCCATCTTTCTAAATTCATTTAGAATTAACTCCTTCTATTTAGTATTATTGGTATCTCCAGCCCCCTCATTTTATCACTTTTCTTTTAGCGTTATTGACAAAATTGCGTATGCTTTCATTAACTAAAAACAGGGAATGGCAGCACTGCGTTGTAGATTACTATATTGGAGTACCTTTGTTTTCTTGGAGTATAATTTCTAATGCCCAAGTTAACTACAAATATCTTAGGGAATCAAGTGCTTTTATAAAGTTCCCTCTAGGGTTGTCTCACTTTTACATTTCCTTAAATGATATAAGACTGTTTATAATTAAACATTTTGGGTCCCTCATTTGCATATTTTTCTGCTGGTCTTTGGTAAGAAGGTGGTGTTGTCTCCCAAAAACCCCACACAGAAAAGACTTCTACGTGACTGAGTCATATAGACTTCTGCCTCTCTACTTTTATAAGTGGCAAGGTACAGCCTGTCCTGTGGCATGGATAGAAATAAACTAGAATGGCTCAGTGCCTGTGGCTCAAGTGGCTAAGGCACCAGCCACATACACCAGACCTGGTGGGTTTGTATCCAGCCTGGGCCTGCCAAACAAAAGAAAGAAACCAGAATGATCTCTACTCAGATTAAATTCAGTGCCTATGTTGAAGATGAAGACATCTATAAGGGCCACTGACAATAGGGCCTCCAACTGAATTGCTTTTCTGAGACAATTAAAAGTACTCTAAGACAGGACCCGAGCCATGACTGTGAGTAGGTAACCACTAGCTACCTCGACTGTTCTCTACAAGCTGGTCTGCTCACCTGCTGCAAAGTTTCTGTAGACCTTTTTCTTAGGAAACCCAGATGATCACGCTCTCATTTAAAACAGAACCAATGGAGAAAGGCTAAGGGAAATAGAATTTAATATGCTGATCTAACAGTGACTGGAGAACAGACTCTGCGGGCCTCTCCCAGGTCATGAGTTGTATGTAGACCCTGTCCTATTTAATCCCCCATAAGCAGCAGTTAGAAAACTCTACCTTAATTGTGGCTAAGAAAAAGGGTAAAGATACACCACCACTGCCCCAAACATGAAGAAATCTATCGGGAATAAGTAAGTCATCTTTTTTTCTTTTCTTTCTTTTTTTTTTTTTTTTTGAGACAAGAGTCTCACTCTGTTGCCCCAGTTAGGGTGCGGTGGTGTCAAATTAGCTCACAGCAACCTCAGACTCCTGGGTTCAAGTTATCCTCCTGCCTCAGACTCCCAAGTAGCTGGGACTACAGGCACCTGCCACAATGGCTGGCTACTTTTTCTATTTTTAGTAGAGGTGGGGTCTGGCTTTTGCTCAGGTTAATGTCAAAGTCCTGCGCTCAAGGGATCCTCCCACCTCGGCCTCCCAGAGTGCTAGGATTGCAGGCATCAGCTACTATGCCTAGCTAAGTAATTGTTCTTACTGACCATTGGTTCTCCACCCCAAAACTTAGCATCAAACGTGGGCTCAGCTGTGGCTGACTGGCTGCTGTTCTCTAGACTTTTAAGAACGCCTCACATTATGTAAACTCCATAGCAGAAGCTGCTGTCACTCCCAGGCCATATTCTCTTGTCAATGCCAATGTGTTTTGTAGTTCTCTTTTGTGAACAAGACATTTGCAGTGTGGAACCAGGGGAATCTCCTGGTTGGCAAGGAGAGGAGGACACCCACAAAGATGATGTTGGTCCCTTAAGGAACAGGGTCCTATTGAGTAAAGAATAGCTATGGACAATAAGATTTCCTCAAAGCACCCCACAGGGAAGGACCTTGAGAATTTGCAGTCATACTTGCAGATGACTAAAAATAGCCATACTGTTATTTTACCTAATTCCTAATTCAGATCTGTTCTTTTATTCATCTTCCCTATCACAGCAACCAATACCATGCCCATATGCATTTAGCATCAAAACAACCGTCAGCATTTACAACTAAGTGCCAGAGATGGATGGGTATTAAACATGCACTGTCATTAAGTCTTCTAGCTACTGAGAGGAATGATTATGCATTTTACAGTTAAGGAAAACAGAGGCTCAAAGTGATTGAATAAGGTGCTGCTATTAAGTGGCAAGAGTACAAATTGGAATTCAGAACTGTTTGAATACCAAGCTTGTTTGCTTAAACAATCTGCTGTACTGCTACTCACAGACTACAACCCTAGAAGTCTTTCATAACTAATTTACCATGTTATCAAAACTAATCAATTAACATTGGTTAAAAGAAAAAATTCTAAACTGCAGCACTTATTCCGATTTTTCCACCTGTTTTTCCAGAGGGTTTTTTTTTTCTTTAATCTCTACAATATGTGACAGTTTATCATTTATTCCTTGTCTTTTGTGACCTTGAGATTTTTGAAGGGTACTGTACCTTGTAGAATATCCACAAATTGGCTCCGCACCTGTAGCTCAAGCGGCTAGGGCGCCAGCCACATACACCAGAGCTGGCAGGTTCGAATCCAGCCTGGGCCTGCCAAACAACGATGACAACTACAATAAAAAATAGCCGGGCGTTGTGGCGGGTCCCTGTAGTCCCAGCTACTTGGGAGGCTGAGGCAAGAGAATCACTTAAGCACAAGAGTTTGAGGTTGCTGTGAGCTGTGAAGCCATGGCACACTACCCAGGGTGACAGCTTGAGTCTCTTGTCTCAAAAAAAAAATCCTCAAATTCAGTTTTCTATGGTGAAGACTAGGTTTTTGTGAAAAATACCACGGAGGTGATGTACCTTTGGCACATCTTACTAGGAGGCACACGACGTCAACATATCTCATTACTAGTAACATCAACCTTGATCTCGTTAAGGTAGTATCTGCTAGGTTCCTTAGCTGCAAAGTCATTATCCAGTCTTAACGTGTAGCACCCTGGAAAGAGCACCAAATCTTTCTCCCACTAAAAAGCGGCTACCGTGAAATTAAAATTTGGAGTCAGAGCATCACCACTGAATTCAGCAAGTTTTAGTGACTCAAAAGACAGGATTTGTAAAGCATCTGGGATACCGATACTCACTATGCTACTGGAAATAACATTTTGTAAGAGTTCAGCACGGTTACGTGGCACGAAGTTCACCAAATGGCCGCATGTTTTGGCAGAACTTACTGCTAGAGGATCCACAAATTTTGCAACCTTTGAAAACGAGACAATGTAGGGCTCGGGAAAGAAGTGAACCCCTTGTAAAGGTGAGAGAATAAGAGCACGGAGACGTGCAGAGGCTTCTCCACGGTGACGCTAAGCGCGGATTCCGACGTCCCTAGACGCCCAGGCCAGCCCCGACCAATTCATCTCAGAACTTGCATGGAATGTTCTTGAGGGGGGTCGCTTTGGACATTCCAGAGGTACCCAAATACAGCCCCAACAGCCTTCCCTAGGTCTTTAGCGAATGTCGCCTCTGGGCATCTCTCTCTGCCTCAATCCGCGCGCAACCTGGGTCTCACAACAGCCCCTTCGCTTTCATGCTCTCCCTCCAGCCAGGTGTCCAGAGCCAGCTCAGACCCGATCGAGAGTTGAATGCCTCTTGCGACCCCAAGAACCAGCATCTTTTCGGCACATATGGACTTTGGAACTTTCCACAGCAAAAAGCTTCGCTTTAGGATTACTGATTCAAGAGCAGCTAATCTGCCCGCCCACGCCTCACGCCCCACGCCAGCTCTGGATAGGCTGCTGGAACTGTCCGTTTTGACAGGAACCGCGCAGGCGCAGAAAGTCAGGGACTGCACTGCGCGTAGGCGACGGCGGAGCTCCAGGATCGGTCAAAAATGGTGAGTGTCCTCTTAGGGGTTGTGGCTAGCAGCCTCCCACCACCTGCACTGAGTCTGATATCCTCTGTAGATGGAGGAGACTCAGAGCGCCGGACAAGGAATCCATGGGGCTGGACGTAGCCGCAAAACCAGGCCGGGCCGTCTGAAGGGTGGAACCCGGGCGGCGCGGGCCTCCAGACCCGGACCGAGGCGGGGCCTCCGGATCCCGCTGGGTCTTGACCGGAAGCGAGAGCCCAAGCGTCGGCGTGGAGGCAGAGGGGATGGTTACTGTCTACAAGCCCCGAGAACGTTTCCTGGAAGCTCAGTTAGTGGCAGGCTCTGCTAAATGGCTTTATACATATATCTTGTCTTTATTCCTCCTCACGGTTTAGTGAGGTAGACGCGACCATTAACCCCATTTTGCGAAGGGTGAAACTGGGTGCTTTGTCCCAGGAGATGGTGGAGGTGAAGTTTGAATCCTAGAAGCTTGGCTGCAGCTGCTCTGTCAGTATGGCTCTTTCAAGCCGTTTGGACTGGGCGCGTGAGGCAGGAACGAATGGGGTCTGCTCTTGGGAATCCCAAAGCCGTCTACTTTGCTGGCTGCATCTGTGTGTGTTCAGTACCTTCCTGGGGTTTTGTGTTTCTTGTGTTTTTTGATCTTAACAGTTTGTACGGCTCGGCGCTTGTGGCTCAAGTGGCTAAGGTGCCTTTCACATATACCTAAGGCGGCGGGTTCGAATCCAGCCGGGGCCCACCAAACAACAATGATGGCTGCAACCAAAAAAAATAGCCAGGCATTGTGACGGGCGCCTGTCGTCCCAGCTACTTGGGAGGCGGAGGCAGGAGACTCGCTTGAGCCCAGGAGTTGGAGGTTGCTGTGAGTTGTGATGCCACGGCACTCCACCCAGGGGGACAGCTTGAGACTCTATCTCAAAAAAAAAAAAATTTGTACAAAGTTTGAAAAGACCTTTTGAATGTTAAATTATGTGAGTACATTACCTTCTCAAAAATCTTACTTAGAAATCTAAGGCATAGGCTCAGTGCTTGTGGCTCAAGTGGCTAAGGCGCCATCCATATACACCTAAGGTTATGGGTTCGAATCCAGCCCGGACCCGCCAAACAACAATGACGGCTGCAACCAAAAAATGGCCGGACGTTGTGCGGGGAACCTGTGGTCCCAGCTACTTGGGAGGCTGAGGCGAGAGACTCACTTAAGCCCAGGAGTTGGAGGTTGCTGTGAGCTGTGATGCCATAGCACTCTACCCAAGGGGACAGAGCTTGAGGCTCTGTCTCAAAAAAAAAAAAAGAAAAAGAAAAATCTAAGGCATATAAGAAAAACTGTAAAGCAAAAAGAAGCAGTGCCATCACTTAGAGGCAACACCACTTACTGTTTTTTTCTTCCTGGTGTGTAGTTTAGCTCATATTGAAACTACGTTCATTTCTGGGTTCTTTCTTAACTATTACACCATAAAAAATGTCTCTATATCATTAAAAATATGAAATAGTGCTTCAGATCCTAAAATTTAAAATACAAACTGGGGTTTAAAGTTAAAACTGTAAGAAACGGGGTTTGTTTTTATTTTTTGAGACAGCATCTTGCTTTGTCACCCTGGCTAGAGTGCAGTGACATGATATTTCACTGCAGCCTCAAACTCTTGGATTCAAGCAGTCCTCCTGGCTCAGCCTCCAGAGTTCCTAGGACTGCAGGCATGCACAACCACACTTAGCAAATTTTTTAAATTTTCTGTAGGGACAAGGGCATGCTGTATTGCCCAGCTGATCTTGAATTCATGGGTTTACAGAGTCCAACTGCCTAGGCCTCCCAAAGTGTTGGGATTATAGGCGTGAGCCACTGAGCCTGGCCACATATTTGTAGGGTACATTTACTATTTTGACACATTTGGCATGTCTTTGTGTCAAGAACACTTAAGAACTTCTAACTACTTTGAAATATAATTTACTGTTAACAGTCATCATCCTACTGTGCTATCAAACACTAGCAATTATTTCTTTTATCTCAGCTATATTTTTGTACCCATTGACCAACCTCTTCATCTATCACTCATTCACAGCCTCTGGTAACCATAGTTACACTCTGTACTTTTAAGAAATCAACTTTTTTGGCTCGACGCCTATAGCTCAACCGGCTAAGGCGCCAGCCACGTACACCTAAGGTGGTGGGTTCGAATCCCCAGCCCGGACCCGCCAAACAACAAT